CATATCTTGTGCCGAAATGCATTTGTCGAAGTCAAACGTTTGGGCTCCAAGATGGCGGACGAGTCAGCTCCCTTTTATCTAGTAGCTCTAGGCGGGCCGGTTGAAAGGAACGACGCGAGATTTTTATTGAATATTTGCAGATACAATAAACAATTGTATAGACAATTATGCAATCAATCGTTCTTACGTAGGACTACTTTGGACAGCCTAGATTTATTCCTATCGGGCTGAGAATCGTCGACGTTCGAGTCACTTCAAGTCGAACGAGGCGCTACGGAAGAAAGCTCGGTTCTTTAAATACGTGTAATTTATACATTGTGAAAATATGATCGGGATGAGAATGAACGCGTTCAACGATACCGGGCTTGGAGAACCGGAGCAAGATGCGAACACGGCTCTCATAGAGCTCGACAAAGGTTCGTCCGCACCGTTGACTCTTTCCTAACCTGCGACACGCGAATATCCACTTGTATATCGAACCCACAATATCTAAGACGCAAACGTCCAGGAAGAATATCGAACAATCGTATCATAAACGTGGACGTTCGTGCAGTTCGCGTGTCGCCGTAGAGATTTACTTCGGTCTCAAAGGGCGTGTGTTTGCAGGTCTACGCTCTACCAAGACTGGGGAGCAATGCGAAGCCATAGTGCGTTTTCCTCGACTGTTCGAGAAGTATCCCTTCCCGATATTGATCAACTCGTCCCTGCTGAAACTGGCCGAGGTGTTCCGCACCGGCAGCAACTTCCTACGAGTGTGGGTCCTAAGAGTGTGCCAGCAGAGCGAGAAGCATCTCGACAAGATCCTCAACGTGGACGAGTTCGTGAGGCGCATTTACAGCGTCATACACTCCAACGATCCAGTCGCCAGGGCTCTTACTCTGCGTACATTGGGCAGCGTAGCCGGCATCATTCCTGAAAGGCAACAGGTAATACGCTTAACTGTTTCATAGGAAATAAGACAATCTCCAGCCTTAACAAGGGAGCCTTGTAATAAAGTTATCGACTACCGTTTCGCAAGGTGCACCACAGCATAAGAAGATCCTTGGACTCTCACGATTCGGTGGAAGTGGAAGCTGCGATATACGCCGCCCAGATGTTCGCGGCGCAGTCCAAGCTGTTCGCTGTGTCCATGTGCAGTAAGATTTCCGACATGATCAGAGGACCAGCCACTCCCGCCTCCATGAAGCTGCAGCTTATACCGATTCTCCAGTACATGCATCACGATACTTTTACAGCCGCAATGGTATATAAGATTTTCTGCCGTTAACACAGGGTGGGGCGATAACTGTTAGGACCTTGAATAAAATGCGTAAAGTAGAGGAAGACCCTGCGAAAGAGATCGGTCAATGTGTATGCGATTACTTAATTGATCGACATGTATATGATTATTTAATTGAAGGTGAACGAATTGTGTATGGAGCTGCTCGCGAGTTATCCGGCAGTGGAGTTTGTCAGAGTCACTCTGAGCGCACTGAGCACCCTGGCCTCTGCGACGCTGATAGACGTGCCGCAACAGGTTGCGTTATTGCTGCGGTATTTGCAGGACGATCCGAGGCTGTCTGTTAAACGCCACGCCTTGCATCTTTTGCACAGTTTAGCTAGAAGAGGGGCGCATCTCTGGCCGCAGGGCGCCCTTAATAATTTAATTGACACGACGCTCTTGCAAGACGGCGTGGGAAATACAGATCTTCTCATCCGTACTTTAGACGTAATCGAGGTCAGTTAAGTCGACATAAGTCGCTTTCAGTTGCAAAAGTTTCTTTTATACCTTTATTAGACACGTAAGCGCAAATGTTTGTTGAAACGCAGGTACTGAGCCAAAATGCTGCAACGTGCGACGCAAATATGGAGGAAAATAGTCCCTTGTTGCAGTTGTGTTTAAACGCGTGTTACTCGCCCAATCCGTTTGTCGCAGTAAAAGCAATCACTATACTTTCTAGAGTTGCTTGTTACTGGTATGTACATGTAAATCTTTTTTCATCGACACAGACGAGGCGGATAGTGGACGTGGATTATTTTGTTAACAGTTATCAAGAGGGATTGCCCGCTTATGGTATACAGGACGTGATTTCCTGTCTCGAATCTCTGATCGTGTTGCTAGTTTTGGACGACAAACATTTGCACCAGTTGAAGGCGTGTTTACGGTCGACAGTGAAGCTGTGTCAGTCGCAGCCCAATCATTGCGCTATATTTGTCGACGCTATTGGTTCTACCCTCATCAACGCCAGTGCGGAAAATGGTCAGAACGAGATGCAGACGGTCGCGCTGTGCGAAGCTCTAGGCGCTATCGGTAGCTTGGGAGAGAACACATTGCTGCCGCTTTTGCCAGATATTTTGATCAAACTTAAACAGACGTCTCATGTACACACGAAGGTAGATCTGTTAAATATGTAAGAAGACCTGGGTTTTCTTTGTCTAGGAGCAATTTGACTTCTCGACTAAGAGAGATTTTTCTGAAATTCCGCTCTGATTTGAAAAGGTGATGCTTTGCACATTGCTATTCCAAATGGTGGCTGGGGGATACGAATGGAACTCTGAATGCCTGGAGGCGGTGGAGAACGTCGTGAGAAACGTCGACGGTTGGGCAAAATATCGCATTGCGCGTAGCGCCGCGAGATACGGCCATCATACAATTGCCAGCGAGATATATAAAGGTCTGAAAGAAACTGTAGCGTCGGAGCAGCTACATTTCTGGCTGTCCGGTTTAGAGTTGGTTACAAAAGCGGAATGCTGCCTTATGTACGTATTCTCCGCTTTATCTGTTTCGATACTGAGACGATACCTTCGCCCTCTAACGTAATAATGTGTGCACAAAGGAATAAGACGGAAGGCGGGACAAATATGAATAAAGCCGAGATTGTGGAGAAATTAAATGGCGCGGTAGCGCGTTACGCGAGCGCTTGCGCGTCCCTCAAAGCCGCCAGCACTCCGTTGCGCAGCTTGCAATTTCCAAGCGAATATTCGAAATTGCGCTGTGAATTCTTGCAGTCTATAGCGCAATTACTACACTCATGCATGTAAGTAAAGTTACAGCAAATATAATTGCGAGGAAAAATATTATACGGAAATAAATATCGACGTTTTTAGATCTTTATGTACCGCACCACCACCCGCTATAGCCGTCACAGTTGTCATCGCGACGAAGGACGATCTCCAGAGGTACGGACGCGTTACACATCAGGTATAACTTTTACAATCGTTATTGATTTCCGTTATATTTACAGCCTTGCACACACGTTATTGCAGCCTATATTATAAATTGTACTTTGCAGTTAAGGAAATCGGCGCAAGACTTGAAAAACTGTGCGGAAAATTACCAGAGGCTGTACCAGTCAGCCTTCGACGCTGATCCGGGATCGTTGACAAACATTCGGGCGTATCCTTTCGCCAGTGTAATTTTTATTTAGCCGTCATTTAAGAACCTTGGCCATTTACCTTGATTCGTGTCGTGCAGATTACAGGAAATATGCCGGTTACTCGCAAACAGCGTGGAACGCGTTTGCGGTGGACCTGGTATCTCGCTGTATCAGCAGCAGAGCGATCCCGTGAATTTTCACTTCGGCGATTCCGTGGAGATGCGGCAGCTGGCTCGTTGCTGCGCCGAGCTGCGCCGTTTAGCGCCAGCCTGGGTGGGCGGCGACGGCAAGGCCGGAGCAATCAGCCATATGAGGGTCAGCTGCTTGATCTCGCAAGTGACGCTGCTCGCCGGCGGAACAATGAGATTGCCGATCCCGCGGTATTTCTTCCAAACCTTGCAGACTACTAGCATCAAGCTGTCAGTGTCGCCCCAACCGCGTGTTCTCGGCGAGCCGGTTTCTGTGCCGCAGGGAAGCCAGCTAGCGCTCAAAGTCGAGGGGGTATTGCGACACGGTCGTCGGGCGTCGCTCTTCCGTTCTGTCGCTGCCGTGTGCATTTCCATCTCGACGACGCCGCCGTCGAAAATAAATTCTGATCAAAGGGTAGGTAGAGCGTCTAAAAGTACGATTGCACTAATAAAAGTTAAGCTAATCTATATTACTGCTTATTTTTAATTTTAAATATATATGTAATATATATCAGACGTTTCAATGTTTACAAAAAAAATGAGGGATGAGAAAGTTAAAAAAACAACGCATTCGTGAAATTTATATTAAATGATATGCGTTTGCTCGCAGGATTCCAACATAAACGAATTGCAGCAAACGGTAACACCTCATCGAGATTTCTTTGCTTGCGAGTTTTTACTGTCCTTGGGAATACCTGGACCTACGATTATACCTCCGTGCACGATTGGTGCGAACACTGTCCCGGGTAGCGGTGGTCAATATCAAATCACGGCGAGCGCGAGCATACTCGACAAGGACGGCAATGTGTGGAAGTGTGGTCCACGTTCCACTCTCCCGGTTAAAGTACACGAGGAGCCAACGAAGAGGAAGTTACCTTAAGGACACGCAGTATATTTTGTATTTTTATGATAAATTTCAATAAATTCAAACGTGACACGTCTCGCGACCTCGCTTTTAATATAAAAATGGCCACGTATATATTTATATGATTAAACCTACGGATGAAACTTTACTTTCAGCGATCTGTAATTTGTATAAGAATTCAGAATAGAATTTTATTTGTGATTACCGTGTAATAAAAAGAAGAATTGAAAAATCAGAAGAAATGTATGGGTAAAATACACAGCATATAAAATTACAAATAGAATTGTGTCCTAAAATTTGATTGACAAATTATGGATCGTCCAAAGAGTGATCTGAAAATAATTTTACAATTCAACGATTTACATTTATTGAATATCAATCAATTTTATTATTATCTTTCTTTCATTATATCGCTAATTTTTGTTGCGCACCTCTAAAAGAATCTTGTGCCTTACTCAAAATCGCTCACGATAAATAATTCTTCCGAAAAAGTACGCTCGCACACTTTTGCCGAACGCTTTGAAGAATGCTTCGCGTTTAAATATCATATGTGTATGTACGTTCTTTAAAATAATTTTACAATTCAACGATTTACATTTATTGAACATCAATCAATTTTATTATTATCTTTCATTATGTCGCAATTTTTGTTGCGCACCTCT